CACCCTTTGTCTGCCTCTGCCATTGACTGCCATGTGGCCTTGAGCTGGTGCTGTTCCTTTTGTGCCCCCAGAGAGCAAAACCTGTCCTACTTGCAGTGTTTTTGCATCTGAAAGCCAGATAAGGCGTAAGCAGGGCAGTCCCCTTGGGGCAGGGCTTGGAGATGGCAGTCCTGTGCCCCCAGCCAGAGGACCACAGAGAGGGCACCCTTTTTCTGCCTGGCAGCTCTGGATAGAGCCCCTGTTATAGTTGGACCTCATTTCCTTTGACAAGGTCCATCTACTTCCCCAGCTGTCCCCACCATACCTGGGAAGGTCAATGAGAGGCATAAGAAGATGTCTCTCTGCGCTCTGTTAAAGCCAGCAGGTGGACAGGCCTCCTTCTCTTTGAGCCAAGAGCTCAGAGTGCTCTGCTGCCCATTTGCCATGTGCCCACTGGCCTAGGCCACCCTCCCCCCAGACCCATCCCAGCAAGCCCATGGGGCCAGCTAGCCCAGGAAGGCTGGTGCCCAAGATGTGATATTAGTGAACCCCCACTCCTGTCTTTCCCTGTGCTCTGCACCAGCCCAGAACCAGTGCCCCTACTAACACCTGTAGGCTCTCAGGTGACAGGTAGGGGATTGAAGCAAATGCTCCTTTAGGAATCTTCCTGTGCACGGAGAAGCTGAGGCTCTGAGAGTGGCAGGTCACATGGCAGTGGAGGTCCCGTGAGGAGAGCTCTGGCATGGGGGTCCACAGACTGGGCTAGGTCGAGCTCTTCTGCACATTGCCTTCTGCCTTCTGGGCCAGCATAGTCTCAGGTCTGCCCAACACGTGGTGTGGGGCTGCGGTCTGATGTGGCTTGTTTGCACAGGCCCTGTAAGCAGGCTAGTTCTCCACTCACTGCAGCCAGGCAGAAGGTCTGGGACTCAGGACTTGACTCAGAATGGTGCCCTTTAATCAGTGCTGCAGGCCCAGGCTGAGTGTCAGGGCTTCAGCCCAGGAGATGAAGAAGGGACAGGAAGAAGGCTCTAGCGGTTTGTGAGAGGCAAGGCCAGATGCCCCCCAGGTGACAGGCCTAGCCTAGGGCAGGACTGGGGTGGATGAGGCTGGAGCCCTCTCTGTGGTTCTGGATGCCTCTTGGAGCTCCAGCCAAGTGCCAGCTTGGGACAGAGCTGTGGCCTGTCCTTGTCCCCTCCCCACCCATGTGTCCTCACCACCACCCATGGCAGCTCAGTTCCCCTGACCTCTCCATCCCTCTCCACCCCACAACCATCCTCTCTGGTTCTCGTCTCTGCGTTTCTAGTAAGCGCCCCACTGATGGGGGACGGGGTAGCTGGCCTCAGCTCAGTTAAGACTGAACTTGCTTGCTGCCAGCTGGATGCCCACAGCCAGTCTGGGCATTTCTGACTGCTGCTCCCCACCATAGTGGGAGACCCCACTCTGCCTTTGGCAGCTGGGAGGTTGGGCTGCAGCAGTGAAGAGTAGCTCAACTGTATTCAGTGAGTATTTCCTCCTCACTTATGATGTACAGGCTCTGCACTAGGTGCAGGGGACAGCTCCCAAATGTCCCTGAGGGGACACACTGGTTCCCAGAGCAGGGACAACAAAGGAAAGTCCCAAGTGTCAGTGGGCTAGGGCCCCATCAACCATGGGAGATGGCACAGAAAGATCACACCTAAGCTGCAAGCTTAAGAACTTCCTAGGGACAGCACATGTACACAGACTCCATAGGATGATAGCCCTGTAGGCGGAGACGACCAGGTCCTGACTCCTGGCCAAGATGCTGTGCCCCTTGGTACATCTGTAGAGCTGAGAACCAGAAGCCAGACTGGTTAAAAGCAGGTGCAAACTCTTCTGGCTGAGTTCCTGGGTTTTGGTCATTTGCTGTGGGCCTGAGAGCATAGGTAGGTAAAGGCTTAGTGTGTGTGTGTGTGTGTGTGTGTGTGTGTGTGTGTGTGTGTGTGTGTGTGTGTGATGTACCTCTTTTCCTCACCTTCATCTCCCAGGCACCAAGAGGCCCAGTAATCCTGAGCACATTGGTCTCAGCCTTTTCTGCAGCCTCTACCACTTCCTCCTGTCCGGCAGGGATTCACCTGTGCTCAGGTAAGGTGACCTGTGAGGGTCACACATGAAGAAACAGAGACTAAGGGAGGCTCACAAGTGTATCTGAAGCCACGGAGCCCATGCAGGGCCCCAGCTGAGATGTGTTTCCTGTCATGGCCTGCAGTGGGACAGAACTGGTCGAGCTGCAGGACTGCAGCCTCTCCTGAAGGAGATTCTCGATGGTCATGCTGGTGAGGGGAGGGCTGGCCTCCCACTCTCCACTGGCCATTGTTCTCCTGAAAATTAAGTCATCCCACTGGGCCCCTTAAGCTTTTTTGGAGCTGTCTGTTCCCAAGGCCTTAGCCAGACGGCAGCTGGAAGTCTGTTAATATTCATTGAATCTCTCCAGAGCGGCTGGGAACCCGCCTTTTAATTGTCTCATCTCTGTCTATGCCTTTATCAAGAAGACTAAGAGATGAGAACAGTCAGTTATCTCGTTATAGATCAGGTCTCCCTGAAAGGGAAGCTGCTGACTGGGGCTCTCCACCCCAATGAGGGAGGGGCAGGGGAGGAACCAACTCCACCAGCCGGAGGAGGAGGTCTGCTCCTGGAAGTGGGGTCCAAATCACTAGGAGTGGAGGATGGACACAGTTGGAGATGGCTGGGGAAACAAAAGGGAAGTCAGAAAACGCCAGTATGTGGGCCCCAAATCACTTTGCCTTTCATTGCTCCAGAGAGAACAAAGAACATAACTGGCATTTAGAGATTCCCTTGCCATTCATCGATCAGTTCAACCATCTCTCCATCTTTCCATCTATGCATCTGTCCAGCCATCATCTGACTACCCATTCATCCACTCACCCAACCATTGGTTCACGCATCCATCCAGTGGGCTGGGGAGAAAGCAGCACTGTCAAGCCTGTCATATGCCTTAAAGCAACTTCCCTTTTCTCACTGCATTAGATCTCCACAACTCTTTGGTTCTATTTGGCAAAAGGAGAAAACGAGGCCCAGAGAGGAACAGGGACTTTGTCAAGGTCAGGCAGGGCAGTTCCCAAGATGAAGTTCTCAGTCTGAAGGCTGCCCTTCACACAGGCTGAGGGCCACACGAATCTGAAATCCAGTCCTTGGCCTGATAGCTACTGTCAGCTTGGAGGAAGGGACCTTTTCTTCACAGTGGCATTAGCATCCTGTCGGGCTAAGACTTCATCTCAAAAGTAGCTTTTTCTAATTCCCAGGAAGAAGATGTGTGGCCCTGAGCTGACCTTCAACTAGAGGAAGGCCTTGGAGAGGTCTGGACAGGAGTCCTGTCCAGGAGGGAGGACCCGGGCCCCACCAGCACTCAGGGAGGGCCCAGACCCCAGGCACACAGCTGAGCCAGCCTAGCACCTGTGTGGTTTAACCTAATTACTTGTTTTCTTTTGGGTGCTTGCATTGGGATTTTATTTGTTTTTTATCAACTTTATCAAAGCACAATTTATATACAATAGAATGCACCCAGAAAAAGTATAGAGCTATGATCTATCTCTCCCTCTCTGTATATATACATATACATATATATGTGTATATACATATATATGTATATATATATATATATATGTATATATAGGATTGAACTGAGGACCTTGTGCTTGCCAGGCAGGTGCAACACCACTGAGTTACATCTCTGGCCCTAGTGCTGTGAGTTTTGACCAATGTATATACTCCTGTAAGCACCACCATAGTCAAGATACAAAACATCACTATTACCCCAGAAAGTTCCCTCCTGCCTTTGGCAGGCAGTGTCACTTACCCCAATGTGACTCAAGAAAGTAACCTCCATTCTACTTTCTACCGCAAATGACTGGAGTCCCCTCAGGTTTTGTGACTGTAAATGGTCACTATGGCATACATCTGTGTACACGGCTGTGAGAACACACATTTTCATTTCTCTTGGGGTTGACATCTAGGAGAACAGCTTGGTCAAGAACAGTCCCATGTTTAGACTCATTAGAAATTGTTAGGCCTTTTCTGAAATGACTGGGCCATTTAACTCCGTTACCAGGCAAGCATGAAAGTTTCAGCTGGCCCATGTCCCGGATGACACGTGGTGTTGTCAACTTTTTCATGGCACCATTCTGGTGGCATCTCATTTTGGAGTTTATTTTGAGACCCACTGTTTTTCTTGCCTGCTCCTCCCTCTGGACTCTGGGATCTTCTGGGACATAAACTGACACATGGGTGTCATTTGAGAGCCTGGAACACTGCTGTACACAAAGAAGAAACAAGTCAGTGTAGGGTAAACATGGCCAGGGAGAGAGTTGGGCTTTTGTGGGGGGAGGCTTTAAAGAGCTGCCACTCTCTCACCTCACAGATAGGTACCATCCCTGTCCTGCTCGGTCCCCAGGGCTGACCTGAGTTAAGAATTCAGTAGCTGGGCATGGTGGCACATAGCCATAATCCCAGGATTTGGGAGGCAGAGGCAGGAGGAGTACTGTGGATTCAAGGCCAGTCTGAACTACATAGTGAGACCCTAAAAGAATTTGCACAGCAGTAGGAGTGAAATCACTTTAAGGACAATCTGCACCAGAACTAGGTACTCTGGCTCTCCTGTCCTCTCTTTAGCACCGTAGATGGTGATTATCATGTCCACATGCAGATGTGGGACCTGAGGTTCGGCCAAGCCAAGCGGCAGCAAGTCTGTATGACTCCAAAGCCTGTGTTCATCACTTCAATAGGGACCACCCTGCTGCAAAGTCACCCCTCCTGGGTTCACCGTCACCACGGTCAGTAGGCGGATGTTGGCTGGGATGTGCCCACGTCCGTGTTCCTGCCGCCACTCTGGCAGCTTTTTGGGCGCTCAGGTCCCTGGGGCTCTGACGCCACGTCTGTGGCTCCATTATCCTGAGAGGCCTCCCCGGATCCCATTACTGTGCTGCTGCTATTATTTATTCATCCACAGAGCCGCAGCCTGCACAGGGCACTTACCTTGATGTCCCTGACAGGGGTTGGGGTGCTCAGAGCCTATTAATCACCAGCCGCACTGGCGGGAGCTTCCTCCCTCAAGGGAGAGGAGATCATGTTCACAGGCCTGTCCGCCGTCCTTCTTCCTGTGCAGAAATCGCTGCCTGGCGTCTTGGAGCTACACATCCTGGAGGGCAGCTCTGCAGGCAGGGAAACTGGGGCTCTGAGAGGGAGGCTCTTCCCCAACCCCACATCCCACTGAGGTGCTCTCTGGGACGCTCTGTGCTACACGCACAGTGACAGTCAGCCACACGCAGGGACGGGGCTGAGCAGTTTGCATCCATTCTCCTGTCTGATGCTCATAGCAGCCCCTCCAGCGCAATGGGGACTTTCAGTGGGGCAGACGGAGAGCTAGGTGGGTGGAGATAGACACAGATACAAAAAGTGTGGCCCTCAGTCAGGCTTGACAAATGAATCGCTAAGCTAACCAGGGACCTGCCAAGCCCAGCCCTGGCACAGCACCTTGGCTTTGGCCAGGAAATGTACACAGTGTGCAGCTTGGTACTTTTCCCCCCTCTGATCCTCTGTGAACAAAAGGAGGCAATGGGTGGCTGACATAGAATCCCCAGGGCCCTAGGAAAGAGCTCCTGCCCTGACCCGTGTACTGCTGGCCCTTGTGCTGTGATCTCAGGATCTCAGTGGTTCATGGGCCACTGGCTGCACACTTGGTAGACACACTGTGTGGAAGCTGGAACTGGAGACGACTCTTCCAGGCACAGAAGCAGATAGTATTTGCCTCTGTAGACAAAGCTCCCTTGGAGTGTCAGGACATGTGTCAGCACCCAGCTTTCAGAGGAAGTCTCCCCTGAGCCCCAGCTCACAGGAATCTTCCCCCTTCAGATCCCCTCTGACTGGCAATTGGGTAACAACAGATGGGATTCACTCCAGGGAGGCTATGTTTTTGCTCTAGAAACTTCCATGGCTCCCCATTACCCTCTGTGAAAGGAATATTGAATCCTGGCAGGTTGAAGGCAGCGTCCACCACTCTCTTCATCATATAGAGACGGGAAGTCTGGCATTGAGCACTTGGGCAGAGAATATTCTATGAAGAGGCTTTTTTTTGGGGGCTGGGGATTTGGCTCAGTGGTTCTGCTGCCTGCCTTGCAAGTGTAAGGGCTAGAGTTCTATCCCTGGTACCAAACAAACAAACAAACAAACAAAAACACAAAACCATTCTTCAGTAGATGGGGATCAAAGAGAAAAGATGACCAACCCAAGGTCACAATGCTGGGAAGTGTCTGGGTCAGGAGTCACTCAGGTTCTTGGGTCCAAAGCCCTTGCTTTAACCCAATGGAAAAAAGCAGTGTGGGAAAAGGAACAACTCTGTCTAGGTGACTCTGGGGCAAAGCAGAGTGGAAATAGGACCTTCCATCCTGCATGACCTGTCCTGGATAGAACAGGCTGCATTTGAGGGCAGCAGGAAAGCGCTTTGTCCCCTTTGACCTCTCTCCTTCAGGGTGGGGGTCGGCCCAGGCTATGCTTGGAGAGGTGGTGCATTTGGACGACTTCTCCCAGAGGGAGTTATTTCCTGCAGATCTAGGCCAGCCCAGCCAGGGGCAGTGCGAGCTGTCTTTTAGTCCAGCTGCTAAAGCTCATGGCTGAGCCTGCTGCAGGGCTGAGGACTAGTGATACCAGCATGGGTTTGGAGCTAGAGGACCCTTGCTTTGAGAGCTTGTGTCCTGGCCTGGTGGCCAGAGAGGGGAGCCAAATAGGGGCTCTGAAACAGTGGTCTTGAAGCAAAGGGCTCCAAAGACCCAAGCTAAAGGTCTCACGCCAGGCTGCCTGTGTGTTCCTGATGAGTCCCTTCCCTTCCTGGGCCTTAGATGTCCGGCTGCTGTCCTGGTGAAGACTGAGGAGTCGGGGTGGTGAAGAGGTACACACAATTGGCTCACCAGAATTTGGCGGAGCACCGACATAGCCTGGTTTATGGGGAACCCTGTGGGTGCTCCATTTCCTTACCCTTCGCCATGGGCAGATGGGCAGAAGCCCAGGCCATTAGTGGGGCTCTGGGAGGGCCTAGCCGGCCTCATCCTGGTACTACAGGCCTCTGATCCCCGGCCCTGCTGGAGACACTCAGGCCCATCCCTGAGGCAGATGTGAGTGGTGTGGCCCTGGCCCAGAGGGGCTGCTTTCAGCTGGGAGGATGGGGCTGCATCTCACTGCGGGCTGTGGAGAGCCTGGGCTAGGCAAAGGGCTTGACCTAAATGAGAAACTTCCGGGACAGGCATGGTCACAGGGCGTGCGAGCTGGCAGGCTACAACCAGAGCAGCACACACAGTGTGCCAGCACCAGAACCATGCGATTGTGACCCCAAAGCAGCAAGTGAGTGGAGCTTACGGTGCCCCAGAGCCAAAGACATTAATCAAATACCCAACAGGGCAACACTCTACCGGGGGTGGCGATTGTCCCATGATGGAAGCAGGTGGCAGGGGACCTGGAAGGGCTGTGGGACCAGGCCAATGAAAATGCAGTGAGGGGTGGGGAGGGGCTGGCATGAGGATGCCGGCAACTAAGTGACAGTCTGTCTCGCTACTGGCACTGAGACATTGGGGACCCACCCTTCTTTCCTCCACACAAATGGCCAAGGACCCAGATAGAGCAGGAGAATCTTGAATTGTCTTAGATTACATTTCAGCCTCCTGGAAGAATGGGGACTTATGGCAAAATTTAAATTCAGTTACAGAAAAATAGAGCCCCTTTTTTTGTGTCATTGACTTTTTTCTACTCAGAATCTCCGTGAAGCAGATCTATTGGGCGTCATGGATCTGATTTTGATAGGGAAGTCAAGGAAGGCTTCCCGAAGCAGATGATGTTTGTCCTGAGTTCTAAAGGAAGAGTAAGAAATGAGAGGGAAGGGAACAGCAATCCAGGCAGGGAAACAGCAGGTGCAAGGTCCCTGTGGCAGGCGGGAGCTTGGTGGAGGGAGCAATGAGGAGCTTCCTCCCTCTGTATATCCTGCTGGAGCCAGGACTGCAATCAGAATAGCTCCATAGTTAATATAGGGACCCTAGGGACCAGGGCTCTCAGAACACTCCCATCCTTGGTCTTTCATTTGCCCAGACTGTTTTTGAAAATGCTGGAACTTCTGACACCAACACAGACTCAGAGGACAAGCAACAGAGGAAAACTCAAGATAACTTCCTTATTGTCCTGCTGAGGGAACCAAGGTCAGAGATGAACAGTGGTTGGCAAGGTCACTCAGCCTCCACAGAAGGACAACCACAGCAGAGCTAAGGCTCTACCCTGTAGGGACAAGCATCCCACCACTGGAGAAGAGGACAGGTTATGTAGCGCCCCATCCTTTTCTCAGGCGAAGAAGTTGGAAGTCAGATGCGCCAGAGGTGGAGATGGGCCGGCCAGACAGCCAGGGAACTCACCTCCTGCCGCTGCCTGTCCCCAGCACCATGCTGGGAGCCGGTCCTTGTTCCCCTCTAGTATCTCAGCCCTCCTGCAGTCCCAGGGCCCAGGAGTCCTGGCTGGGAAAAGAAGTGGAGCAGGGTGACACTAGCATCAGTCCCAGGGCCACCAGGTAATTATGCATTAGGAGTTGATATTAATAAAGGCTCCAGGAAAGGGGTTTTATTCCAGATCTTAACACCAGATTATTGCACATGAGGGAAATATCATGGCCCCAAACTGTCTCCATCCTTCGCTCTCCATCTCTAAGCAATCTGTTGCTTTTATTAATTCTGTCTTGAGTTTCCCATGCCGGGAGGGAGAGAGGAATGGAGGGGAGGAAAGTACAGGGAGATGAGGAGTGTGACAATTTGGAACAGACTTGGACCATCCTGCATCCCCTCCCCCAACTCCTGCACAACGCCCAAGTGTCCTGGGGTTGGCCCAGCTCCATCGCAATGCCTCCCGAAACAGAGTCCTCCACCCCTTCTCTTACCCTCCCTCCTCTCTTCCTCTTTCGGCTTTTCCCTTCTCACTCAGCCTTCCCTCCACCAAGAATCACAGTCTGCATTTCTCATCCACCAGAACCCCACTTTAGTGGCCCCAACTCCTTCAGTGATGCTGAGAATCCACTACTGGGGTTTTTCTCCCAAAATTAATCAAACAAAGAGAATATTGGGGAAAATCTAAATGTCCATCGAGAGAGGGTTGTTTTTCAAATTATGAGGGTATTTCTGTTTGTCTAAATTATGGTATAACCATATGCTATGCATAATGAAATAGAATAATAATTTATAATAAAATACTAATTTATATTGTTTGTTTTTTGTTTTGTTTTGTTTTTTGAGGCAGGGTCTCACTATGTAGTTGAGAGTGATCTGGTACTCACTATGTAGCTCAGGCTGGTCTCAAACTCACAGTGATCCTCCTGCCTCAGCCTCCCGAGTGCTGGGATTACAGGCATGCGCCACCACGCTAGGCTTCTAATTTATATTGTTGAGAGAAAAAAATGAAGGTGCAGAAAGACATGCTTCATGTCACATTTTATGTAGAAGCATAATGCATGCACACAACACACTTGTGTAAACATGCAATATAACCTAATTCATTATAAGATCTTCTGAATTTGAAAGAAGAGAATTTTGAGAAATGGTTAGTATCACATCCGTTACAGAGTAAATGCTTAATTAATGGTTGCTGCTATAGTCTGGCATCTGACTCCAAGGTTCCTTCCCATTGGACTATGATGGATGCATAAATCACACTTGAGAAGAATGTGGGTTACAAACAAGAGGTTTCAGTAAGTTTCAGGGGAACGACAGGGGATTTTGTGCCTATAAAGCGCTGTGGGGCCTCCAGCTACAGCCCCAGATGGTGCCCACAGGAGGCAGCCCTAGGAACTCCAGAACTGTAGAAAGGCAAAGCTCAATGCACAAGGAGCAAGACTAAAGCTGACTTCCTGGGGAGGTGGTGATCTCACTGTTACATCGGACAACTCAGTGGAGGCAGCTACCAGTCAGGCAGCTGAACACCAAATACTTGTGCAGTGTGGAGGTGGAACAATCACACTAACATGGTTCTGAAAGTCTGCAATTATGAGTGCAAACTTTCATGTCTTTCAGAGCTTGTGGAATTGCAGAGCCCCTGGACCTGGGCATGGTAGAGTAAGTACACTCATTTATGTCTCTCTCTGAACACAGTGAAACCTGAACAGACTGCATGAAGTAGCTAGTCGACACTGTAAAGTAAATAGAAACAGATGGATGGGAAAAGACAAAAATTTGAATAACCATCAAGACAAGATTTAAACAGGAGCTGGTGCCTTATAACAGGATATTCAAAATATTGAGGATACAATCCCAAATTATCCTACATAGGAAGAATCGGGGAAATTGCAAATCACAGGTGTTGACACTGTGGTAGCACAGGTGTTGGAGCTATTTTATGAAGACTGTTAAGGCAGTTTCTATACAAACACATAGACGTTCTTGAAACATAGAGAAATGGAAAGTCTCCTTGAAGAAATAAAACAGGTCGCTCAACAGGAGCACCACCACTATTTGGAGATGGGTAATTTATCATAGGTGTCCCATGTATTGGAGGATATTCACCAGCAGCCTTGGTCTCAACCTATCAGCTGCCAGAAACAGCCCACCCAGCCAGTCGTGAGAGCCAAAAATGTCTCCAGACACTGCCAAATGTTTCCCACGGGACAAAATTGCAGCCCAGTTGAAAGACATAGAAATAGAAGATATAAAGAATAAAAAAATGTATATTTTAGAACTGAAAACCACAGTAACTAAATTAAAAAAAACACTAAATGTACTCAGGAAAAAAAATCAGAGAATTTAAAGATAGAGCAGAATAGAAATTATCTAATTTGAATAATGGAGAGGGAAAGAAGATTGAAAAAATGAATAGAACCTTGAAGATTGTGGATGACAACTAAAAATTTCCTATTCATGTAATCAGAGTCTCAGATGGAGAAGAAGTGTGTTGTGCTGAAAAAAATTTGAGGAAATAATAGCTAAGAACTTCTAACCTTGGTGAAAGATATCGATCTACAGATCCAAAAAGTCCAGTTAATCTCAAATGGGATAAATCCAAAGAAACCCATGGCCACACATATGATTATCAATCTTCTGAAAAAGTAAAAAATGAAATTTCAGTGCTTGTCATTTGTGGCTTAAAGTAGTATGCATAGGGAAATGTATGGAATTAAACCCTTGATTAAAATGAAGAAAGATTCAAACCAATAATGTAAGTTTCCACTTTAAGAAACTAGTGGGGATAGGAGAAGCAATAGCAAAGAAACAATATAGATAATAGCAAAAATCAATTAAAATGAAAATTAAAAATATAGGGAAATTAATAAGCCAGAAAGCTAGTTCCCTGAAAAACTCAGTAAAATCTATGAACCTCTAGCAAGTCTGATAAGAAAAAAAAAGAAACAAATTACCAAATCATGTGTGAAAAAAGGCCTTGTAAACATGTAAAGTTTGGTTAAATCTAAAAAAAATTCTTAGGACTTGAAACTGAAAAAAATGATGAAATTTTTAAAAAGATGAAATAAAAGAAAGATCTAATGGATAGTTACTTATTAAATACAAAATCTAACCTTATTTTTTAGTTAGAAGACTCAATATGGTAAAGATGTCAATACTGACCAAAAGAATCAATAGATTTAATATAACTCCTATCAAAATATTAGCATAATTTTAATATATACATAAACAAGTTGATTTAAAAGTGTATATAGAAAGGCAATGGAGGTCGGGCGTGGTGGCACATGCCTATAATCCCAGCACTCTAGGCTGAGGCAGGAGGATCACTGCGAGTTTGAGACCAGCCTGGGCTACATAGTGAGTTCGAAGTCAGTCTCAATTACATAGTGAGACCCTGTCTCAAAAACCAAAAAAAAAAAAAAAGGCAATGGAGCTAGAATAATTAAAATTATTTTGAAAGAGAAAAATAAAATTGTGGGAATCACATTACTTGATTTTAAGTCTTGCTATAATGCTATAGTATTCAAGACAATGTGTTACTGGCAAAAGGATAGGTACATAGAGTAAGAAAAAAGACTTGAGAGGTTAGAATAGACCCATCCAAATATGGCTAACAGCCCCCACCCAAGAAATCAAACTCAGGACCTTGCATTTGCCAGGCAGGTGCAGCACCACTGAGCTAAATCCCTGGCCCCCAGTAAGTTTTTGACAGAAGTGTGAAAATGATTTAATAGAGAAGGGATAGTCTTCTCCACAAATGATGTTAGAGTAATTGGACACTTAATCTGAACCTCATAGTTTTATAAAAAGTTAACTGAAATGAATCACACATCTAAATGTAGAACATAATCTTCTTTTAGAAAAAAAATTATGGGAGAAAATGCTTGTCATCTGGAACTTTCACTCAGCATAATGCCTTTGAGATTCATCCAAAGAGCTCTTAAACATGTCAGCAAAAACATGATCTAGAAAAAATAACTTGGACTCCATAAAAATTTAGATGGCACCGTGAAAAGCATGACAACGCACATTATGGACCGAGAGACATGATACACATGCCAGAGGACTGGTATCCAGAATACATAAAGAGCAATAAATGGGTGGGGCGGGCACACCTATAATTCCAGGCACACAGGTGGCTGAGGCAGAAAGCTTCCAAGTTTGAAGCCAGCCCGGACAATTTAGTGAGACTATCTTGAAAACAAACAAACAAACAAAATGAAGAAGAAGAAAAGAAAAGGAATAACTGTCAGTGTAGCTCAGGGGTAAAGCACTTACCCAGCATGCATGAGGCTGTGGGGTTCAATCTTCGGTACTTCCCTTCCCAAATTCAATAGTAATAACAATAATAATAATAATAATGATAATAATAATACTAAAAACTAAAAATGGACAAACACATCCCAAAGTGGGTATAAGGGTAGCAGATAAGGGCCTAAAAAGATGTTCAATATCTTTAGCCATTAGAGAAATGCAAACTAAAAGTACCTATTAGAACAACATAATAATTAGAAATAACAACTAAATGAAATCATGGCAAGGTTGTAAAACAGTTGAAATTCTCCTACATTTTTAGCAAGAATGCATAGTCGTGCAGCCACTGCTGAAGTTGATTTGGCATTTTCTTATAAAATTAGACAGACAACTACTATCTGACCCAGCAATCCAACTTCTGGGACTGGAGAAATAAAAACTAAAGTTCACAGAAAAGCATATATATAAATATCTATAGAAACTGTAATTCATAATTGCCCCAAACTGGAGACAATGCAAATAGCCTTCAGTGGGTGAATGGATACAAAAGTCCCGGTAGCTCCACACAATGGAATACTAGTCAGCAATAACAAGACACAAGTACTCCAGACATCATGCAACAATTTGTAAGGTTATATTGAGTGAAAGAAGACAGAATTAGCAGGCTACATTCTGAATCATTTCATTTGTATGACATTGTCGAAAAGATGAAACTATATGTTGGAGAGCAGATCAGTGGCTGTCATGGGGATGTCACTAGAAAGGGACAACACGAGGGAGTTTGGGAAGTGACAGAACTGTTCTGTAACCTGATTGTGGTG